GCCAGTGTTATTTTTGGTTTGCTTCTCCTACTGTTAAGATAAATAAAAGCAAACACATAAGGCTAGCAAACAAGTTTGGGGTATGAATGTATCTTGTAAATTGACTCTGCTCATATTTCCAAAATAGTATTTTCAGAAAAACTTTATTTTGTTTCTGACTTGCTAAGGGGACAACACATTTCTAGATATAGAAGGGCAGGTTCCTCTAGGTATACATATATTTTGAAAAACAATGCTTTATTTAATAATCATATTTTTATATGTTCATATTCCTAATTTTTAAATATTATAACTAACTTTTGACTTTTCTTAGCATATGATACCATGTTGCCTGTGGGCTTCTGTTTGTTTATTCAATTAAATATTATATAGAGCTCATTTTCTTTAATCTGTTTTCTTGGCAGATGCTTTCTAGTCAGACAGGAATAAGTTCTAATCCCATGCCTGCCATTTACTAGTTAGATGCTGGTCAAAGAAATCAGCTTTTGCGTATGTAAATTGAGAATAATTATTTAGACTGAATATTTGTGCACCGGTGAGAGTTAGTGAAACAAAATACATCAAAGTTCTGTGCACTATCTTCCTTATCCTGATCCTCATTCTGACCTCCCTCCACCTGATTCCCCCTCCTCCAAATAGACTAAGAGCCAAAACTTCAAGTCTCTCTGAGATAGATTTAAAAATCTGTTATTCAAATACATTCAGAAACATATGATCAAAGAGCAATGCACTGCTTTATGGGGTTTATAGTTTTGAAACATTGACTAGGGGTTAGTGGTCCTTTCTTATAGGCCCTAACCATGTCTGTCAGGATGAAAGAACCATTGCCTTAGAGAAGATAGTCAGTAGAAATTTTTTTTTTAAGTTATTTCTAAATATTCAGTGATTCATTAAAATATTTTTGTTTCCTTAGGAAAAAGTTTCCACATATGCACAGTAATCATTTGGCATTTCGTAGGCTTAAGCCTTGGGGAGCTAGTGGTATTTGGCTCCTGACATGGAAGTCTTTCTCTTGTCAGACAAATCCTTTCCCCGGCACATTCCTGTGAGAGTTTGTTTCTGTTGTTTCTGATGGCAGTGTGTGAGGTGGTTTGGTATGGTTTGCGCTGCCTCGCCAGACTTCCTTCACACTGCTGCCTTCCAGTCTTTCAGAGTTAATTTTAACTTTGGGACTGTTAGCTCAGTCATTGTTTCATCTAACTGAGGCTTATTTTACCTGAAGAAAACTTTAGTTATTATTCTGCAATGAGGGGTACATTCAATAAGCCAACTTGCAGTCTTTGAAATTCCTCCTGATGACTTATTTTTGTTAACAATTCTTAAGTGTCTAGTAAGAAAAGCATGAATACTTCTGACAGACTGGGCTATTTTTAGGGAGTGATAGTGCATTTTAAGAAAAATATGAACCACTTTGTCTTTCAGCCTTGATTCAGGAAATCTAGGTTCTGATGATTTGAGATTTATTTTCAACATTTTGAATTTTGTATATTCTTTTCAAGAACAAAGATAATGCTAGCGAAGTTTCATTCCAAGGAGCATACACCAAGTAAATACAGAATATGGCAACAGTGTACATAAGTAACATACTTAGTTGTTTGTTCTTTTTTTAAGGCAAAGGATTGATTTACAGTCACAGAACAGATAACAGAAGGTAGTCGGGGCTTAAGAATCAATGGGGTGGAAGATTAGGATGGTGTGAATGTCAGCATTTGAATCAATTGCTGTTTTAATTTTGTGTTCCCGTTTTCTTCGTGCTCACACTTAATGTTTAAGAAATGTGTGTAAGTTCAGTGTTGGCCTTTTAGGAAGCTATCTGGCTAATCAGATACTTTAGAATTCTTATTTTAACCAGTGATGTTGATAGTGAGGTCATAAATGTGCTTGTGTTGTAAATGTAAATATTTAATTGGTTCACTAAAATTTGTGAAAATTGATGCAACTTTATCTCAAAAAAAGTGCAAGAGGTGACAATAAATATGTTTTATGTCTTGTCCATTGGTCAATATGTCATAGGCTCCTTTTCTATTTTATTTGTTTGATAGTCTCTAGTAAATTCATTTAATTAGTAGATCTGCCCCTAAAAGCTAGGAGAGAGAAAAAAAATTATTTTATAATCATCCCCCAAGTGTATTTAAATAAAGACATATAATATATATTTATGTAGTATTGTGTGTATTTGAAAGGAATATTTCAACATATATTTATATAAAACTATATGTATATATATAGATGTACATCATATATAGGAAATATAAAGTTTGTAGAGAATCAATGCATCCATTGACAGAGAACTGAATTTTAGAAAATAGACAAATAAAAGGTATTTTGATACAATGGAAGATTTTGCTTATTTTTCCCTATTTCATAGTGAAAAATGTGCAAATTTTAGATTAATTTATTTGTATCCAATCACTTAACAATTGGTCAAAAAAAACCATGAAATTATATAGCAGTTAGAAAATTGTGTAATCTTTAATAGACTGAAAATGTATACCTTAAATTCATCACTATCAATGTAAAAATTAATATATTTTATTATCATCATTATTGATCATAATACTATGCTATATTTGGACACAAATGGAAATTACATTTGTATTTGATTTGGAGCTCTCAAGTCTTTTACATATAACTTATTTTATTTATCAATTGCTAATTGGGATAAAATAAATAATTGCCTTTCTTTGGATAATTAACATAGCCAGGGCTCTTTCATTTAAGGAATAAATGCTAAAATTAAGCAAATGAAACAAGTAGATGCAAAGCCTGACTCTCACAAACTGATTCTGTGCTGAACATTAGCAGGGAAGAAGAAATCGATTTAATAGATAATACTGAACACTTGTGGCAGTGAAGCCACTCTGTGGTGGTTTTAATTTTTTCCCCCATATAAAAACAGTGCTTCTTTCTAACAGGCCTGAGAATTCGGCAGAGTGTGTGCATTTGCTTAAAGTCGTGTAACTTCGGTAAATGCACATGTGAATAGAGAGATAGTGCCATCAAGAAATTCTATTATTTGTTTAACTTCATAATGGAGTTTATAGTCAGGAGTAACTTTAGAGGTCAGTTAGCTCGATATTCTCATTTTATATATAACCTATGTTACTATGGTGTTTTTATTATGGAAGTTAAACATAAACATGTTCAAATCTGTGCAAAACAGATTGTAAGAATTTTGTAACCATTCAGTCATGACAATCACTTATTCATCAGCAAGGCATGTTCACTCACAGGGAATGAACTATCTATTCATCATGAATTGATAACCCTACTGAAACAAACTAAATAAAAAGGCATATATATATATATATATATATATATATATATATGTACTTATGTATGTATATGTAGGTACACACACACACGTGCACACACACATATACATAATAGCCCTAAATAATAACCAACAGCTTGTAATGTGCCTGAACATTTCACAGCCTACCTCACATAAGAACAACATATTCATTGCTGGGGAAAAGGGTTGTTTTTTGAATGATGCATTTATAATTTGTGGCTATAGATTTTGAAGCTGGTAGTTACCATTAGAAACATTAAGAGTCTGGGTTAGGTGTTTTCATAACATTTGACAATCTATGCTTACTGATATTCTAGAATGATCCACTTCTCATCTACTCACATTCACTTTCCAGCATGCATTTTTCTCTGAAATAAGAACAAAGGCATAACAAATGGTCAGGTTTTGTAGGTATACAGATGATAGGATGCTCATTTTGTCATTAAAATAATGAATTTTATAATATTTTAGCAATATCTTTTAATATGTAATTTATAGTGAAATTGTTGATTATATTTAGCCTCCAACTAATAAAAATAAATGGAAAAAAATAGTGATATGTGCTCAATGGAAAATATTTGGAAATATTGGAAAGCAGGAATATGAAAATAACAACTATAAGCTTACCACCCAGAGAAAGAATACAAAGCATAACATTTTAGTGATTTTTTTCCACACTCCATATCCTTCCCTGCCCTCCTCTGACACGCATGCACATGCATATGTACATCTGTATATTTTTTGTATTCATTCTGGGCCCACCGCTTGTATGTTCTGTGACCTTTTGCAAGTTACTTCACTTCTCTGTGCCTCAGTTTCTTGATCTTTAAAATGTGAAGAGTAATAATAACAATGTTTGTTATAGGATTGTAAAGATTAAATGGGGTAATAAATATGAGTGTCAGTCATAATATAAACTATTTCTATAGCTATGATTATGTATTTTGAAAACATTTTAAAATTATCAAGCGTTTTTCATTTTGATTTGAAAGCCATAGTAGCCATTGCTAGTACTTGTATTATTTTCAGTAAGTCATCATAATACCTTTTTTCCCTCCTTTTATGATAATGGTGGTAAGTGGAACATCTAAAAAATATGTTCCATGCAAAATGGATCTTCACACAAGCTTACTTTGTCATTTTAGTTTGATTTTTGAGAAATGAGTTCAGCACATCTGCCAAATCCTTTATAAGATGCTACATTCCTGTTTTTATTTTAGTGTATTTCCTTTATGAAAAGCTCTTTTCTTCTCCACCCCTCCCCCAGGCAGTGAGGCCTCCTTCTCTATTCCTCCCCATCCTCATAATGTTGCTATCCATTAAATCTTTAAAATAGAAATCGGGAACAAAAGTGGAAGGGATCTGTCACTTTCTTTTTTAAAAATTCCTTCTCCTTTTGGTATACCTAGGTTGAGAAAAACAACGACAACAGCTACCTTTCACAGTCTGAGAATATACCATGGGATAAAGGACACCTTTTTCCCACCAAATCTGAAATAACAGTCTTTTTTTTCAGGGTGGGAAGCAGAAAGCGGGTTTGGGGAGAGGGGTGGGGGAGATGGAGTAAAGCAAATGAAGAAGAATCTGTTTGCGAACATATGTTAATATTTAGATCCTTTTTTTTTTTTTAAGTGAACAGTTAACTAGTTAATGCTTTTTTTTTACAAACTGTCTTTGATACTGTGTTTTGTTTATTCCATCCCAGAAGAAGTTAGCGGTATACAGCAAGATGCAGGACTCTCTGGAAGTCACCCTTCCCAGCAAACAAGAGGAGGAGGATGAGGATGAGGATGAGGATGAGGAGGAGAAAGACCAGCCTGCCGAGATGGAGTACCTTAACTCTCGCTGTGTCCTTTTCACTTATTTCCAGGGAGACATTGGGTCAGTAGTGGATGAACACTTCTCAAGAGCTTTGGGCCAAGCCAGCACCCTTCATCCAGAATCTGCCATTTCAAAAAGCAAGATGGGGCTAACCCCCTTATGGCGAGGTAAGAATTCCAGAGCAGATGCTCTCCAGGCCACTGGCTGTGTTTCGCAACCGTCTGTACCAGGTTCCAGCTGGAGACCTGCCCCTGGAGGACGGATATCCACTCGCTTTTTAATTTTTAAGGACAGCAAGGAATTTCTTTCAGACAAACAGCTGGATCAGTTTTGTCACATGTGGAATGCAGGGTTGGAAAGGATGCAGTCACACCCCTTAAATTCCTCATGGAAAGTAGTGATGCAACCGGCCTGAGTTTATAGTGGCAGGACTGAGCTGCGAAGCACCATTCCTTAAGCCCCGATGGCCCAATTTGGATCTCTAAATAATGGGCGTGCCTGGATCAGCGTTTAAAAATTAGCCCTTGCTCATTCCACTAGGTGCTATGTGGTGACATAGCAGAGATCTGAGTCTGCCCCAGGAATACAGACTTTGAAAGCCTTCTGTGTTTGCTTGATGGCTTACTCTGTCCCACTCTGTTGTGATGTTAACTCTTTGCAGTGTACAATCCAGATATCAGTGACTGTATCTGCCTGGTTTCTGCGATTTTTTTTTTTTTAACCTCAGTAAAGCAAAGCAGTAGATTGGGCTTCTTCTCCTTTATTTCCCTCTATGGAGAGGTCACAGAAGTGTGTTCAAATCTGATTTCTGACTCACAGAAAATCATCAGGTGACACCTTATTTGGGATAATTACAACATTAGAGAAAAAAAACAATCCATCATTCCAATGATTGTTTTAGAGAAATGCATTATGAACATTTCTTCTGAACTCACCTGGTTCCAAGAAGAATCTAGTGAAATGGTCCTCAAAGTGTGGTTTCCAGGACTGGGAACATGAGCATCCTAAGGGAACTTGATAGATATGCAAATTCTTGGGCTAAGCCCCAGACCCACTGAATCAGAAACTCAGAGGTAGAGTAACCTGTGTTTTAACCAGCCCTCCCAGGGATTCAGGTACGGGCTCAGGTTTGATAGTTGTAGATCTAGTGCTGTGAAAATCACAGATTGCCGCCTCCTAACTCAGACCTTTGAATCAGATAGAGGCTCCAGAAGGAGGCTCTGGGAGTTACTGTAGCAAGTGCCCCAGGCGATCCTGTGATGAGGAGAGGCTGGACACCGCGTTAGGGGCAGGTGAGAGATGATGAGTGGCCCCTTCCTTCTCAGCATCATTAGAAGGGTTTTTAAAAACTGTGGAGGGTGAAATTAGGAAAAGTTCAGCGACCTAGCTGGCTTTAGTAAGTGTTTGATATATCAATAATAAATCCTATCATGACAGCCAGTCCTGGGAGAGTGAGTGAAACTATCAGTCACTCAGTTGTGTCCAACTCTATGCAACCCCGTGGACTATAGTCTGCCAGGTTCCTCTGTCCATGGAATTCTCCAGGCGAGAATATTGGATTGGGATGCCATTCCCCTCTCCAGGGGAAAATGCAATGCCTAATTCTTTTAGCATACTGACATATTCAGCCCAGTGACCACTGAACTTGGAATATAGGAATGAAAGTTCCAAATTACAAATAGATGTAAGAGTGATTGTCTAAAGCATCATAACCAGAATAGTTTTAAGTGAAGTGTTGTGTAAATGTAACAACTCTACAATTCAGTGTTTTCCCATAATCTGCATGACTTAATGGAGAGGACCTTTAGAAAGATGTCACATTTTAGCATCAAAAGGGTGGATAATGGTAGTGTTTTAGTATTATTAGAATTTTCTTGGCATTATCTTGAATTTTGCCTACAAATCTATCTCCTGTTTCATTCATTGACATTGACTTATGCAGCAGATATTTATTAAAGTCCTGCTATGTTCTAGGTAGTGGGAATATATCAGTGGACAGGAGAGTCTAAGCTTGTACACTCATGAAGCTTTCTAAGAAGAGACAGACAGTAAATATATCAATATATTGAGATGCAAGGTATTGTTTTACCTTGTTTTATTTAGAGTGACAATAGATGGTCTAAGATTTTTATTTCAGTACATACCCAAAGGAAATAAGAGTGCTTCTCATCACACAAATATCTAGAGGAAGATTACTGAAGATAGATGAAACAGCCAGTGCGAAGGACCTGAGGAAGGATTGAACTTGAATGTTCAATGAGAAGCCAAAATGCTGGTGTAAGTGAAGTGAAAGAAAAAGGTGTAGGTAGAGACCAGAATTTTTAGAGCTTTGTAAGTTAGTTTATCAGAGCAGCACAGGCAAACACAGCATGCTCTTCAGTCTTCATCTCTCCCTCTTCAGCTAAGACTATATGTGTCCTATTTAGTTATCTCACATCATTTCCCCAATACTCAGGATAATGCATTTCTATATGAAAAATATGGAATATAAATTGAATGAGCAATTGATTAAATTAAATGAACCAAATCCATACCATGTACCCAGGATAAGAAAACAAAAAAAGTCGTTAATACAGAATTTATAGTAATAAGTTGTATAAAATCTTTGGGTACAGTTTTATTTATAAAATAAGGGACTTGAATTAAGGGATTGTTGAAATCTTTTCTCCATGAAGTTGTGATTTCAAATGTATTATTTACTATCTGATTGTAAATAAAACTTTGCCATAGTTGTGAATTGGTGTTTTTAGGTAAGTGTACATAAGTTGAATAAGATTCATAGGAAATCCACAACATAAAATTAAGGACTTAGTAACTATGTTATAGAAAAGTGTAATAGGGATTCCCATGTCTAGTGAAGAGAGTTGCTTAAAATATATTAACTGCCAAAGCAATACCAGTTTGCATAATGCTGTCTTTGGTTGAATTATGTTTGCTTGGAATTCAAGATTGGGCCTTATTATTGCCTGGTGGCAATGTTATCCTCGATGCTCGAAGTATCTCTGAGAGTAACTTCAGTTATAATGTGTATTTATTAATACACATCTCCTAGTGTTGTTGTAAAGATTTTTTGATTATATATATGAATAATTTAGCATAGGGTTGATGCAATGCATTAACTGAAGGTCAGATGACTTTTCTCTCTTAAGTAAGTTTTCACTCATTTGGCACACAGAAAACCAACCTTGTGTCTTTATTCAGAAACATTGTTTTCTGAGAGTTTGTATTCCTGACAAAAAGCACAGTGTCTTGAACATACAAGATACTGAAGGCTATTGACAATTTTGATGGCCATGGCAGTAAATATTTTATGAGGAGCTGTTGACCAGCTGTATTAAATTAAAGGGTCTAATTTATGGCATGAGGTTTTTTACAGTGCTGCAAAAGTGCTGCAGTGCTTCAAAGGAATTTAAAATTGAATTATGTTTGATTGCAGAATATATTTCCACAGTAAATCTTCAGGCAAGTGATAGAGTGTCAGCTAATGATGGAATCGTGGTCATACTTTGAGCTTGTATCTTGATGGACTTAGGAAAGTCCTCTTTAGGTGTTTTGTGGCTTTTCCTGTCAAAAAGTTGACCGGAAATATTCCTTCTTTATTAGGCACATCACATGAGCCACCTTGTCTCCCACCATATCTTCTAATGGATTATATAGGGCTTCTCAGTTAAGTAAACCTAATGAATCTGATTGTCTCATCCCATCCAAATAGAAACATCAGCTTCAAATATGTCTATTCACTGATTTCAGTGCTTAAGTTTTATTACAGAACGTGTGTATGTGTGTGTTTGTGTGTGTAGGAAAAGGCAGTAGTTAAATCAAGACATAGCCAAATAGATCACTGACTTAAAACCTGTGATGGATGGTAAACTTGATTTTTTTTTTTCTTTTTGTAGTTGCAAAACAAATATATTCTGCATAATTGATCTACACAGTGTCTTCTTGGAGCAACATTCTCATGAGAAAGATCTCTCAAAATGAGCATTAAACTTAGCAAAAAGGAAGAAGGGGAAGGAGGGCCTGTCTCTTGGGTCAGGTGACACAGGGAAGGAGAGAGTTGCGCGGCCTCTCCAGGAGGCCCTTGGAAGTGATCACTGTGGGGAAGTTTAAAATAAACACTTTGGAGAAAATTGAGGCCTGGTTTATCTCAGATACCTGCCTTCAAGGATTATGGGCATCTGATAGCACCCCGTGAAATTCTCATTTTACAGTCACAAGGACTATTTGGAGCAACTCTAGAACAAAATAAGTGGAGGGCAATCTTTGTACATAATGGTAATGCTCAATTACTGAGTGATAGGTAACACTGGAACACATATCATTTCACCTCTGACCCCCAAATTTATTTTTATAGAAAGTAGAACACGAGGAAGAGAATTGTAGACTGAGAATGGAGGAGCATTGTTTTTCGCTAAGGTTAATTAAAAAGGTAAATATTATCTTTTAGCATGGATGTTTTCAGTCAGTATTAGTTCTAAGAATATGTTTTCTGGAAATTTTTAAGATCTTAAGAACCCATTTTTCATTGTAATATAGTCTTCATTTTTGGTGGCTCAGACAATAAAGAATTTGCCTGCAATGCCAGAGACCTGGGTTCGATCCCTCACTTGCGTAGATCCCCTGGAGAAGGGAATGGCTCCTCACTCCAGTAATCTTGTATGGAGAATTCTATGGACAGAGGAGTCTGGCGGTCCCCAGTCCACGGGGTCACAAAGAGTCAGACATGACTGAGGGGCTAATACTTTTACTTTCATTTTTTTTCAAAATTAATAAAATATTTTAAAGAATTATATGTTTACTTTTCTCTTGCATAAAATGTTTACCTTTAGATCTTTTTCAGAGAAACTGAATGTTAATGTAAAATGTATCCCAGCTACTGTTAAATTGAAAAGAACCTCTTAATGTACCATGTTAAGCTCTTTTATGTCTCTAAGACATATTTCTGCTAAAAATCACACCAGTGAGATTACCGGATATGCACTGGGTGGGTTGTATTAGACAATTCTTTTCCTCATTTTTGTTGTTGTTTAGAAATAGGGTATGTATGTTTGTAATATTTTTTAATCCCAAATGCAAACTGAACCAACAAATATCTAGATATTTTGTACGTGTTAGATTCAGTGTGAACATCATCCAAATATCGTGTCATTGAGCCCAAAGTCACCATAGGGTGTTAATATCACATAGTTCTGAATTGCTGGAAAGTAATATTGCATGGAAATACTGTGTGCAGTTTTTCATAAGCTTTTTCATCCAAAAAATGTGGCTGTGATTAAATACTTGTAAGCAGAGTCATGTAATAAAAAAAATTTACATATATATGAAATAAGCATACTGATTCCCAGGCATGAAACAAAGAATATCATCTGCTTCTTTGTATCAAGAATTTCTTTTTTAACAATCAAGATACCAGATAGTGATTTTGAAATGTTGACTTGCCCATAAACATATTTTCTGTTCAATATCTTTTCATTTATTTGTAGAATGCAACATTGTTTTCTCAAAACACTGCGTTGATCTCTGCAAACTTTATGTTAATCTCAGGAGACACACTGACTGGGAAATTACTAAGTTACCTCTAATTTGATTTTTCCCTGGCACATTTTACAGCTTTGTTCAGCCTTTATGGGGTGCGTTTTTTAGAACAGATTTCTACTTTCAATGATAACACGTTCCCTAATCACAATATAATATGTAATAAAGAGGATAATATTTTTGTAAGGAATTTTTTCATTATTCACATTTCCTCATGCATATCCAAAATGTGTAAACATCTGCAAAATAAAATTAGGTCCATGGACATGAAGGAAAAGAAACAAAAGGAAAGCATCCAGGAAAATGACATATACTCTCTGTACTTTTGACATTTTAATGGGAGATATTAATAAGGAGAACTCTATCTCTGGCACACACCTGTGGCTTGACTTCAGCTGTTTTTATAATGGGATTCTGGTCCCACAAGAGGTAAAACTTATGAGCAGAATGAAGGGTTTGGTACCAAAGATTGGATCTCTGAAAGCAAAGGAGCAGATCGGTGGTGGCAAAGCTGTACTATGTAATTTAAGAAGCCTCTATAAACTCTTTTATGAGTTTTAAACTTTAAACGTTGACAGCTTTCACTGTGAGTATGATAGAAATATTCTACAAATGTCCGTCATTTATAGGCTTCCTGGGTGGCGCTAGTAGTAAAGAACCTGCCTGCCAATTCAAGAGACACAAGAGACATGGGTTCAATCCCTGGGTCAGGAAGATCCTCTGGAGGAGGGCATGGCAACCTACTCTGGGTATTCTTGCCTGGAGAATTCCATGGACAGAGAAGCCTGGCAGGCTACAGTCCATGGGGTCGCAAACAGTCGGAAATGACTGAAGCGACTTAGCACTGCCATCATCTAAGGCAAATTGAGTTTTCTTCCTACACCTTACACAATTTTCCTTCTTGTCATTAGCAGCTAGGTTTCATATGTCAGAGGAGGACAATGCTTAAACAGATCACATTTGCCCAATGCCAGTAGGCTTGACTTTAAGTGCTATTTTCTAACAGATTGTCACTGTGACGAAACTAAGTCATTCGAGTAAAACTTTGCTAGGTCTGCTGGAAGGTTTGAAGACTAGTTTGCTTTTCATCCTTTGCCTCTATAAGGCCATCATTAAGTTTTTCTCAAGGGTTTGAGATCCAGGGAGATGCTGGGCAGAAGCTAGGGGGAGACTTGAATTGAGACACTGAAAATCTGTCTGTCTGTGGATGGGGCGGATGATAGCTCTGCCGTGAGGCTGATGGGGAGAAAGAGGAAGAGCTTACAGTGTAGTGACTTAGCCTTTAGTGACGCTAAAGAAAGAAAATATTTGAAACAACCCAGTGATATCCTAATTATGTTCATCAAATTACATATATGGAGGTTGAGTCAAGTTACTTAAAATTTCCCTGAGGTAAAAAAAAAAAAAAAAAACTATGTCCTGGAAGTTTATGAAGTAAGAACATGGACATGTCAGATTTCTGAATACTTTTATTTCACAATACTTCTTGGGATATCCTTCATTCCATGAAGATATCTAGCAAGGTTCTTTTATGTGGAACCCAGTATAAAAAATACTGTTGTACTGTACATGCATAACTAATGCACTAACAACTTTATCTTTATAGATAGAAATAATCCATAAGACATTTCCCAGAATGGTTAGAAGCATGGGGCCAGAAGATATTTGGAATTAAATGAGCTTAAATGCCTATTTGATTGGAAGACACTAAACCACAGACAAGCCAATAGATCACTTGGGGTCTTACAATAAGAGAGGATGATTGCTGGATGCCAGCTCTCAACCTGGGCTCTCCAGACTCCCAGGCCAGGGCTTGCTCAGTTACCTATGCCAGAGGCAACAGGCTATGGCTGGAATAGCTATCTCTGTAAACACAGATCTGACCATAACCCTTCCTAGGAACTATACTACATAAAAATTAATTTAAAAAGTAAAAATAAAACTCTTTAAGCTCACTGGACCCCTCAGGATAGTACCCACATTTAGTGCATGGCTTGTAAGGCTATGAAAAGCCAACCTAGACAGCATATTAAAAAGAAGAGACATTACTTTGCCAACAAAGGTCCATCTAGTCAAAGCTATGCTATTTCCAGTAGTCATGTATGGATGTGAGAGTTGGACTATTAAGGAAATTGAGCACTGAAGAATTGATGATTTTGAACTGTGGTGCTGGAGAAGACTCTTGAGAGTCCCTTGGACTGCAAGGAGATCCAACCAGTCCATCCTAAAGGAAATCAGTCCTGAATATTCATTGAAAGGACTGATGCTGAAGCTGAAGCTCCAATACTTTGGCCATCTGATGCGAAGAACTGACTGACTGGAAAAGACCCTGATGCTGGGAAAGATTGAAGGCAGACAATGAAGAAGAGGACAGAGGATGAGATGGCTGGATGGCATCACCAACTCAATGGACATGAGTTTGAGTAAACTCCAGGAGTTGGTGATGGACAGGGAGGCCTGGCGTGCTGGAGTCCATGGGGTCACAAAGAGTCGGACATGACTGAGTGACTGAACTGAACTGAACTGTAAGGCCATACCTATGTGGGTCCTTCTTGGACCATAGTATGTTTGCCACCATCTGCCCACTGAGTCCTTTTTTGATCCCTCAAATGCTGTTTTGTGCAAGTACGTGTACTTTTGGCCTTTCTCCACATATTTTTTCATTAGCCTAAAATACTCTTCCTTAACTCTTCATGTGGCTAGCCCTCCTGACCCTTTTGATTTTGCTGTTACTTTCTAAGCCAGTTTCAATGCCCTGTCTGTGTATTTCCCCTCCTGAGAGCACAATCTAAGTTACATTGCTCATGTCTGTTTACTTCTCTGTTCCCTGCCAGATGTGACTGAAGAGGACATCTGTCCAATCATCTCTAGTCACCCCGTTTCACACATAGTAGGTCATCTATAAATGTGTCATGAACATTGAGTGGAGAAATTGAAGCAAAGCTGGGAATTGTTCTCGCTCTTGCTTATTTATCTCCAAGTGCTAGTCTTTGATATCATTACCCCTTCTCAATATCTCCTCCAATCCATAACCCACCTGAATCTCCTCCATTCATGATTTCCACAGAATTTCCACCAAATTCTGGGTGTTTAGGTTATAGTCACAAGTGTGCTGACTTGTGGCACAGTTGCAATGAGTGACAGCCATTCCTTGCCTCAACTTCCACATCTCTAAAAGGCGGATAATAGTAACTACCTCATAAGTTTGGAGTGTGTATCCAATGAGATCAATCCATGAAAAGCTCCTGACCTTGTATCTGGTACTGGGTCACTGACATTAAATGTGAGCTCTTATTATTTTCAGTCCAGAAACTCCCAGACCTCTACAGAAAAACTAAGCTGGGAATACATCCTTCTTGATGTAAAGTGAGTGTTGGCGAGCATCCTTAAGTATGATCTTACTTCCGTTTGTTAGTTTTGGCATTAAAATGGTTTGAGTGAAAATTGTATTTGCCTTTAAAACAAGTTGGTAAACATTATTTGCAATTTACCTGAATCATGTCTATGGCATAAGCTTTTTCTTTTTTTTTTTAACATGTGACGTATGTCCCGTGACCTCTGCTCAGACCTAACGGCATTAGGACACACAGGAGAAAGCTAAGTTTTCCAGTCCTAGACTTGTCCACCTCAGCCTAAACAGTGACCTCCTAAACTAAGCCAGCAACGCTAGGGACTCGTTCATCATCTGGGCCACCTTGCATTGGCTTGGCGTGAAACCTCACTATCTGGTATCATTCACCTATGTGTGGGGGAGAAAAAGAGTGCATACTCATTAGCTTGCTTGAAAATACTGGACAAGCAGAGGCAAGTCCATCCCAGAACTGAATCTTATGTAAATAATGTTATTCTTCTGTCTTCTCAGACAGCTCAGCTCTGTCAAGCCAGCGGACTAGTTTCCCGACTTCCTTTTGGACCAGCTCTTACCAGCCCCCACCCGCACCCTGTCTAGGGGGTGTTCATCCTGACTTCCAGGTCACGGCACCCCCGGGCAGCTTCGCGGCCGCCGACCCCAGCCCCTGGCCGGGCCACGGGCTGCACCAGACTGGCTCCGGCCCCGCACCGCCCGCGTCGGAGCCCTGGCCCTACCCGCTGGCTTCTCAGGTGAGCCCGTCCTACGGCCACGTGCACGACGTGTACCTGCGGCCCCACCCCCCGCACGCGCACCGCCGCCATCACCACCATCACCATCACCACCTCCCTGCGGCGGGCTCCGCGCTGGAGCCGCCTTACGGGCCCCTGCTGATGCCCTCCGTGCGCGCGGCCCGGATCGCCGCGCCCCCGTGTGACGTCACGAAGGCCGATCCCGCGACCGTCACCTCCGCTACCTCAGCGTGGGCCGGAGCCTTCCACGGAGCCCTGGACGTGGTGCCGAGTGTGGGCTTTGACGCAGGTGAGCCCGGCGCTTTCCTCCTTTCCGTAAAGAAGGAGAATCCCTGAAATGAATCGTTGAAAATGGAGGATGTTTTGAACATTTTGAAAAAAAAAAATTTTTTTTCTCTTACACGGAAAGTTAAACTTTGTCCATATGGTTTTCAATTCGCCGTCTTTGCAACAATTCCTGCATTCCTGCAGAAATGGGTGTGACTACCCGAGAGAGGTCTCAGAGCTTTTCTCCCATTTCTTAAGCTAGTAATCTGTTTATTTGAATTGGAATCTCTGGTACCTTATGCTCACAAAGATTTAAGCACCTTGGTTAAATCTCCCATGCCTCTGTACTCTCTAAGGGTGATGTGTAATGCCAGACCATTCAGAAATAGTGTGTTTCAATAATTTTCCCTTCTTCCTTTTTGTCAGACCTTATTTATGATTTATAAACCAAACTGCTTTCTGAAATGCAACTCATGGAATATAATCATGGTCTTTGAAAAGAATTAGGAAATGAATTTTAAACGAATGGATTTCTCTTCTCTTCCTACCTCTTTCCTTCCTCTTCGTTTGTCTTCTGTTATTTCCCTCCTTCCCTCCCTTCCTTCCTTCCTCCTCCTCCTCTTTCCTTTCTGTCTCTCTCTTATTTTAAAGCATCAAACTTAAGAGGCTACTCCAAAGTTTATATTCAATAGATTTGGGGAAAAAAATAACAGTAAGGGAAATATTTCTTCAAAGTACATTCAGCTCCTCTCTGGAATTCACTAGTTCTGAAAGCCATGGTGTCAAATGCTTGAGCTTGGTTTTTTGACCAGACTACTCGTATTAATAGTGTTATTAGTTCCAAGTTCACAAAAGTCACAAACATCAGAGGCTAAAAGAACAAATCAAGTCAGTGATTATATCCCCAGAAACTACATTCTAAAGTCAGCCACCACCACTTCCAATCCCAGGTTCTTTTCTGAGAATCCCTTGTGAAACATTAGGACTTTCTTCCAGAGTTTTAAGGAAACACACTTTTTTATTTTTTATAAATTTTAATTATTTTCCTTATTTTCCCTTGCAGTGAGAGAACTCACTTTTTTCATAGTGTTCCTTACTTTCCCTTTTAGTGTAGTTGTTCAGTCACTGAGTCGTGTCTGACTCTTTGTGACACTGTGGACTGCAGCATGTGGTGTGTCCTGCACCACACCGCCTCCCTGAGTTTGCGCAAATTCTTGTCTATTGAGTCAGTTATGCTAACCATCTCATCCTCTGCCACCCCCTACTCCTTTTGCCTTCGGTCTTCCCATTATTAGGGTCTTTTCCAGTGAGTCAGCTCTTCCCACCTAAGTGGCCAGAGTATTGGAGCTTCTGCTTCAGCATCAGCCCTCCCTTATTCTTTGCGTGTTTTTCAGTCACTCGGTCATGTCCAGCTCTTTGTGACCCCATGAACTGCAGCACGCCAAGCTTTCCTGTCCTTTACTATCTCCCAGAGTTTGCTCAAACTCATATCCATTGAGTCAGTGATGCTATCTAACCATCTCAACCTCTGCTGGCTCCTCCTCTTGTGCTCCATCTTTCAGATCATCAGAGTCTTTTCCAATGGGTCGGCTCTTTGCATCAGGTGGCAAAAGTATTGGAACTTCACCTTTAGCATCGGTCCTTCCAATGAATATTCAGGGTTGATTTCCTTTAGGATTGACTGGTTTGAACTCCTTGCTGTCCAAGGGACCCTCAAGTCTTCTCCAGCACAACAATTTGAAAGGATCAATTCTTTGGTACTTGGTCTTCGTTATGGTCTGGGCTTCCCAGGTAGTGGCAGTCATTAAGAACCTGCCTTCCAATGCTGGAGACATAAGACAGATTTGATCCCGGGATTGGGAAGATACCCTGGAGGAGGAAATGGCAGTCTACTTCAGTATTCTTGCCTAGAGGATTCCATGGACGGAGGAGCCTGGCAGGCTATATAGTCCGTAGGGTCACAAAGAATCAGACAAGACTGAAGCGATTTAACACAGCACACACTTCTTTATGTTTCAGTGCTCACATCTCATCTGTACATGACTACTGGAAAAACCATAACTTTGGTATATGGACCTTTGTTGGCAAAGTGATGTCTCTGCCTAGATTTTTAATATGTTGTCTAGATTTGTCATAGCTTTTCTTACAAGGAGCAAGTGTTTTTGAATTTCATCACTGCAGTAATTCTCCACAGTGATTTTGGAGCCCAAGAAAAATAATCTGTCTTTGTTTCCATAGATGCTTCCCCATCTATTTGCCATGAAGTGATGGGACGAGATGCCAAGATCATAGTTTTTCGAATGTTGAGTTTTAAGCCAGCTTTTTCACCCTCCTCTTTTACATTCATCAAGAGACTGTTTAGCTCCTCTTTGCTTTCTGCCTTTAGAGTGGGATCATCTGCACATCTGAGGTTGTTGATTTTCTCTCAGCAATCTTGATTCCAGCTTGTGATTTATCTAGTCGGGCATTGCACATAATATACCCTGCATAATATACTATGCATATAATGTATAGCCTTGATGCACTCCTTTCCCAATTTTGAACCAATTCATTGTTCCATGTCTGCTTCTATTACTTCTTGTCCTGCATACAGGTTTCTCAGGAGGCCAGTAAGGTGATCTGGTATTCCTGTCTCTTTAAGTATATTCTTAGTGTACAGGATTTGCAATCTGAATGCCAATCACAGCAGAGAACTGCACAGAGTAACAGATGCTCATCATCCATTTATGTTCATCCTAACCTAAGCAGAACATCCTTAGCTTGATTAACTGGTTCTCCGCTAAGCTTTTCAATGTTGGTCATTGCCTAATGTCGCCAATTTCTGCTTCCTCTTTAGTCTTTGGGGCAAGCTGCTTTTCTAAACTATCAGGCAAGAACTTGGTACTTCCTCTCTGTAAGAAGAGAATGTGATGAAACTAACCACCACAGGTTTGCCTCCATCCTCTGCCACATACTAGTAGTATGAACTCTTGAGTCGTTTGATGCCTTGGGTCAGATCGAATGAGAGCCCCAGTGAGTAGGCTGCCATCATTGGCAGCCAGTCTCTGGAGGCTCTCAATTTCCCAGTACCTGTGTGGCCAGGGTTAATAATGCTTTTAGAAGCAAAGGGAACATTCTCTTCTTTCTTAGTTTGGGCTGCTTCAGCAGAATACTATATACTGGATATGGTAAACAACAAATATTTAGTTCTCACAGTTAGTTCTCTGGGAAATCCAAGACCAAGGTGCCAACACATTCAGTGTCTGGTGAGGCCTGCTTCTTGTAAGAGACTTTCTTTTCAATGTGTCCTCATTTGAGGTAGAAGGGACAAAACGAGTTCTCTGCACTCTTATTTATAAGGGCATTAATCATATTCGTGAAGACTCCACCTTCATGACTTAATTTCCTTCTGAAGGCCTCACCTCGAGATACCATTACATTGAGGGTTAAGATCTAATATGTGAACTTTTCAGGGATATAAGTATTCTGGAAGTGGATGTGATTGCCTTTACTCTACATTTCTGTCACTGATTACCTACTTTTGTACTTGTTAATTTTGATGTGAGCCTGATTCACTGACTCATTGCTCAGAATTTTGGCTTGAAATAATCTCTTCCTTCAGGAAGTAGGAGATTTTCATTCTCCATGAAGAATCTAGAGAGAACCCATGTGGATATATTATATAATAGTTCTTAATGCTGAGCTATGAATTAATATGTATTGAGTACCCACTATATGATATTAACAGATATTATCTATATTAATATTTATATTATAAATACATATACTGTATTAAATTATATATTATAATAAATATAAATATATAAATAACATGTATTATTATTATATAATATATATTAAAATATAGTTATATATGTGTGTATATATATATCATTGCTTTTAATTCTTAAACTAAATCTGAGATGGATCTTCTCCAGTTCAGTTACTAATAAGGATATGGCTTGGTTTTCCTATTTGAAAACATCTTCCTAAATCTCAAATGCCCAAGCTATATTTGACCCAAAATCTGCCCCAAAATAAGGCATTGCTAGGGTAGCATCTGCCTTTATTTGTAGGTGAATGAAACTATTGATTAAAACTGTTATATTAGACTGTAAACTTCCTGGTTTTATAAGCCTGGCTCTGTTCCTTGCTAGCTACAGAATTTGGGGCAAATTTTTAAACTGCTTGGTGCCTTTAATTCTTTATCTTTAAAATAAGTCTCACTGGATGGTGTTGAGGATTAAGTAAGTTAATGAAGTTAAACATTTAAAGATGTGCCCTGCACATAATAGATAAAATATAAATTCTAGCTACATAAGAGAAAGTGATCAGACCCTCACTCATTTTAGCTTTAAAAAATTTATTATTGAACAATATTTCACCTATCATATACTTAAGCATGTTAAAGCTTACAATTCAGTGGGTTTTAGTATGTTGATGATGTTCTACAAGTATCTCTATATCTAATTATAAAACATGTCTTTCACCTCCACAAGAAACCCATATCTGTAAGGAATCACTCCCAATTTCCTCCTTTCACTATCCCCTGGCAATCACTAATCTACTTTCTGCTTCTATGGGTTTTCTTACTATGGATATTTCATATATAGAGAGTCGTACAGTATATGGTCATTTATGTCTGCCTTCTTTCCTTTCGCCTGGGTTTTCAGAATTCATCCATGTAGCATGTATCAGAACATCGTTCCTTTTTGGGGTGGACATCAGTCCATTGTGTGGATATACCACGTTTCGTGGGCTTCCCAGGTGGTACTAACAGTGAAGAACTCACCTGCCAATGCAGGAAACATAAGAGAGGTGGGTTTGATCCTTCCCTTGGTTGGGAAGATCCCCTGGAGGAAGGCATGACAGCATACTCCAGTATTTTTGCCTGGAGAATCCCATGGACAGAGGAGCTTGGTGGGCTATTATCCATAGGGTCACAAAGAGTCAAACATGACTGAAGTGACTTAGCATGCACATCTTGTGTATTCATTTATCTGTAGTTTTTTTTCTACTTTTTGGCTAATAAGGATGATGCAG